ATATAAGACAAAACTCTCAGCGGCACGCCGCCGCCGCCGAGCGCGCGTTGGCGATTGGCATGTGTGCACTCAGCGTCGCATATCCCCATTGGGGTGTTCCCGTCTTCCGATCAGAGAATGAATGTTTACATTGGGTTTTTGCCATCTTGTTTTGGAGTTCGACATCGCTCCCGTTGCATCAAGTCTATCAGCGGTATGCCGCCGCCGCGCGCGCGTTGGCGATTGGCATTTCTGCATTCAGTGTCGCAGATCCGCATTGGGATGTTCTCGTTTTCCGATCAGAGAATGAATGTTTACATTGGGTTTTCGCCATTGGGCTTGGAAGTTAAGCGTCGCCTTCGCTGTATCAAATCTATCAGCGGCATGCCGCCGCCGCGCGCGCGCGCTCGTTGGCGATTGGCATTGTTGCATGCAGTGTCGCATATCCACATGGGGATGTTCCCGTCTTCCGATCAGAGAATGAATTTTTACATTGGGTTTTGGAGATCAAACTTTGTCCCGTTGCATAAAACCTATCAGTGGCATGCCGCCGCCGCGCGCGCGCGAAATTTCGCCCCGTTGTATAACACTTATCAGCGGCATGCCGCCGCGCGCGCGTAAGCGCTTGTTTTTGTTTGTTTGCATTCAGTGTCGTATATTCACATTGGGATGTTCCCGTCTTCCGATCGGAGAATGAATTTACATTGGGTTTTCGCCATTGGGTTTGGGTGTTAAGCACCGCCCCCGTTGCATAAAATCTACCAGCGGCGTGCCGCATTTGCGTATTCAGTGCCGCTTCGCAACCCAGACAGAGCGCGCGGTGCGCAGGGAGTGGTCCCTAAGCGCAGTCTCTATCCACGCTGGGGTCGCAGGGCGCGGCAGGCGTGGCCTGACACCAAGAGGGGTGCACAGGAATCTGCCCCTGCACGCAAGCCGCCAGGGCGGTCGCGGGGGCGTATCCAGCGATTTTGTTTGCCCCGCTTCCCTTCTGTTTTTATAGGCGCACTACAGCGCTGGGGAAAACATGTTTAAACTTGTCTCCCCAAAATATGTTTAAACAGTTTTCAGACACTACCTTCTAGGAGCGTCTTGGGGGCCTGTTGGGGCTCTTGGAGGCCAGTTGGGCCGTCTTCGAGGGCTCTTGGCCCTTCTGGCGCCTTCGGAAGCCGTCTTGGGAGCTTCTCTGGGCCGTTTTGGCGCACTCTTGGAGCGCATTGGGGCCCTACTGGGAGCCTTTTGGGGGATCCGGGGCTCCTCTTGTGCCAACTTGAGGTCATCTTGGGAGCCCCCTTGGATGTCGTGGAGTTATCTTGGAGGCATCTTGGGCCGTCTTTCGCGGCCCGAAGCCCCAACAATCGAGAATTTCAAAATCCAGCAAAACCCAAGGAAAAGTTGTTCGCTTCCTCAGGCTGTCCTTGAGGGCCTCTTGGAGTCCTCTTGGGCCGTCTTGGGGGCCGTCTGGAGGCCGCCCTGAGAGCCTCTTGAACCGTCCTGGGCCGTCTTGGCCAGTTTTCGTGTCGCCTTGGCTGTTTTGGAAGCCGTCTCGGAAGCCATCTTGACCGTCTGGAAGCCGAACACAGCGTCGGAGAGCATGTTTTGGAACGGCGTTGTTTAACCCCGCGCGCGATACAGAGGGGGGTCGGCTCTAGAGAGTGTTGTTCAAAACGGAGGGACCACAGGAGCATTCTACACGCCCACTCCTTGCAGAAACGGTGGCGGATTCCGCATGTCTTCACTAATGAAGTTTCGATTTCCAGGTTAGTTATTGAAGACATATTATTAAGGATTCGTGACTAAGGATTCTGTATTACGGATGTCTCAATACATTACGGTTTTCTTGCTAACGGTTCCTAACTCAGGATTCCTTGCTAAGGCTTCCTTATACATGACGCTTCCACGCGGGAGTAGTTGCTCAGGATGTTTCACACGTGATTCTTTGCGGCTGATTTCTCAATGCTGGTTCCGCATTGCAGATGCGCGGCTGGACATGTATGATTCAGGGCACCTTCCGAAGGATTTTGCATTCAAAATTCCTGTTAAAACGTTTCACTGCTGCACATGATTACCAAAGGCCCTGTAAGAACGGTCCGTTTAATACAGATTGAGAGCTCTACGTTCGTCGGAGTTTGGTAGTGGTTATCCAGTTACGGCTCTTGTATAACGGTTCGCCCTTCCAGGAAGGATTATTGAGGAAGGGATGTGTATTACGAATTCTTTATTGAGGATTTGTTTAGCACGGGTTGTTTGCGGAGCATTTGTCGTTAAGCATTGTTTATCAAGGATTTGCCGTCAGAGATTCGTGATTGAGGAGCAGCGCCTCAGCATGCGAAGCCTCCTCGTGGGCTGAACCGCCATGCCATGTTGCACCGACTGGTGAAACATTGATTCTGCGCGCCCTTCCAGCAATTTGGCGTCGCTCGGACGTGTGCATTTGTTCTCGGCGAGGACCATCGAGGAGCACCCTGGATCATCGAGCAAGAAAAAACACACGCACCAGAACCGAAAAACGCACAGGGAAATGGACGTCCGAGCGACGGCAATAATAATAATAATAATAGTAATAATAATAATGGTAATAATAATGAGCATACTAATACTAATTATCATAATAATACTAATAATGAATAATAATAATAATAATAATAATGATGATGATGATGATGATGATAATGCTGATGATGATGCTAATGATGATGCTAATGATGATGCTAATGATGATGCTAATGATGATGATGATGCTGCTGATGATGATGATGATGATGATGATGGTGATGCTAATGATGATGATGATGATGATGCTAATGATGATGCTGATGATGATGATGATGATGATGACGATGATGATGACGATGACCATGATGATGATGATGACGATGATAATGATGACGATGATGATGATGATGACGATGATGATGATGACGATGATGACGATGATGATGATGATGATGACGATGATGATGACGATGATGATGATGACGATGATGATGATGATGACGATGATGACGATGATGATGATGACGACGACGATGATGATGATGATGATGATGACGATGATGATGATGACGATGATGATGATGACGATGATGATGATGTGATGATGACGATGATGATGATGACGATGATGATGATGATGACGATGATGATGATGATGATGATGACGAGATGATGATGATGACGATGATGATGATGATGACGATGATGACGATGATGATGATGACGACGACGACGATGATGATGTGACGATGATGATGATGATGATGATGATGATGATGATGATGACGATGATGATGATGATGATGATGATGATGATGATGATGATGATGATGATGATGATGATGATGATGATGATGATGATGATGATGATGATGATGATGATGATGATGATGATGATGATGATGATGATGATGATGATGACGATGCCTCCGTGGCGGCCCCGCGGCCAAGACCCCCGCCCACGGCGCGGCGGCGCCCCCGCCCCCGCGCGCCCGGGGCGCGCGACGACCATCGCTCGGGGGCAGGACGGCCGGCTCGGCGCCGCGCCGGCGCGAGCGAAGACATGGACGAGCGTGTCTGTGATATGGAGGAGGAGGAGGAGGAGGACGAGGAGGAGGAGGAGGAGGAGGAGGAGGACGAGGAGGACGAGGAGGAGGAGGAGGAGGAGGACGAGGACGAGGAGGACGAGGAGGACGAGGAGGACGAGGAGGAGAGCAGAACGAGGAGGAGGAGGAGGAGGAGGAGGAGGAGGACGAGGAGGACGAGGAGGAGAGCAGGACGAGGAGGAGGAGGAGGAGGGCGAGCGTGCCCGTGACCTTTTTTTACTCGCTGCTCTGCCGACCGGCGCGGGCCCAAAATCCCCCCCCCCTCCCCCCCCTCCTTATAAAGCGACGCGAAGAGCGGGACAAGATCGGCTCGGGATAACTCGAAATCTCTGTGGATCGGCGGGCTTGGAGGACGTATTGGGCGCCGCGGCCGCTCCAGAGCGTTCCGGAACGCTCTGAGAGCGCTCCGGAACGCTCTGGAGCGATTCATCCCGATCCTAGCCCTGTTTTATCCCCCCCCCCATTAGGGGAACAAGAAGTGGCATAAACACAAAAACTCGGAGGTCCGCCCGGACTTCTCGGGTCGGCGCTGGACCACCCTGGCGGCGCCGCCCCTGGCGCGCTTCGCGCGCCAGGGAGGGGGGGTTCAGCGCCGATCCGAGAAATCCGCGCGGACCTCAGAGTTTTTAATGTTTATGCCACCTTTTGTTCCCCTACTCATGGAGTGCAGCGGGGGCGCGCATCAAGACACCATTTGCTTCTTTCGGTGAGGGTATCCTGGGTTTCTTCGCTCCGCGCGCTGCGCGGTGACTTCCCGCAGCCGTTGGAGGAGCTGCTGCGTTCAGGGTGCTCCGGGTTTCCCCTCAGGTGTACCTCGCGCGCGGGTTCTCAGGGTTGGGTTTGCGAGGGTTTTTTCGCGGCCGCGCCCGCACTGTAGACCTCGGCTGTTTTTCGGCGCCCGTTTCGAGCGGGTGGAGTCTCCCCGAGGGGCCGCACGGCTGCAAGCAGTCGCACCAAGCAGAGGTTTGGAGCTAGATTTATGTCGGGCGTGTCCCCCTACAGGGGGATTTTCGACGAACAAAAATAAAAATACCCTCCAAATATGCCAAAAAGGTCAAACAATACTCTAAAAATATTCCCCAGGCTATTTTTGGAGTATTGTTTGATTATTTTAGGGGGTATTTTTTATTTTTCGTCGAAAATCCCCCTGTAGGGGGACAGGCCCGCCTTAAAGCTAGATCCCCCCCTTCCCCCCCCCCCTTGCCGCCCAATGCCGAAACGCCGATTCAGAAAACTATGGGCCATGTATCGCCCGAGTGTTCAAACCTCAAACCGCCCAGGCACAGGTCAATCCTGCGGTCGGACGAGGAGGACGGGGGGGACAACGGGAGGAGAGTGGAGGAGCAGGAGAAGTGGCAGCAGCCAGACGTTCTAGGAGGCGGATCGGCGAACGAAGTGGGTTTGGTGAATCGGCTAGCACAGGACGTGGTGTACAAGACGAAGGAGTTCAAGACCCTCGACAAGAACGTCGCGGACATGACGAGCGACCACGCAGGGAAAGACACCCAGCTCAAGGCTCGGCTCGGCCCGTCCTTGCCGCTCCTTGCATTCCTCGTCCTCCCACTCCTCGCCATCTTCTCAAGTCTAGTGCTATCCTCATGGTTCTTCTGTGTTTGACACCGCTGTTGCAGCAAACCACACTCAGAGCGCGTCATCACCACCATCATCATCGGTATCGCCCAGAGCTGCCTGAACCGACAAAACCCAACATTTCCCACCTCTCCTCTCCGATGTCCTGTTTTTTGTTTCGTGCGGCCCAAGATCAGGAGGGAAGGAAACACACAGACACAATTAATCGTCGATTCCCCCGAAAATATGGGAAACTATGGGAAGTGGGGGGGAAGACAGAAACCCAGAAACTATGGGAAAGTATGGATAATTATCTTATTTGTGTGTATTTATTTTTGTGTCCTTGGGCCCCTTCAAAGACCCCCTCAGCCTCTTCCCTTGGGAGTTGGCTGCCCGTCCCGAGCCGTGTTTTTGGATTGCCCCGGGGCCCAAAATTTTGCCCCCCGGCGGCCGACAACAAAAAAGCCAGAGGTACAGTCCACGCGCCCAGTAAGGACGCGCGCCTTCATCTAGGATACTCCAGATTTCGTAAGAAAAGAGAGGGGGTCACAACCCTCCCAGACGAGAAGTTTTAGACCCCCCCAAACCATCCACGAAAGAGCGGCCCTTTGCCCAGACCCCCCCCGAACCCTCCAAGACAGCTCAAATCAGACCCCCCCCGAATGTGACCCTCCCCATTTTGTTATGGAATCCGGAGTACCCTTGCGTCCTTGCCCCTGTGGCCCGTCCTTTGCCGTTTTCGCTGGTCGCCGCCGCCCAAAAACTATCCCAATTTCGGCCTCCAAGGGTCTTGCGTCCTTGCCCCGTTTATGGCGGTTGATGGGAGGAGGAGGAGGAGGAGGAGGAGGAGGAGGAGGAGGAGGAGAGGAGGAGGAGGAGGAGGAGGAGGAGGAGGAGGAGGAGGAGGAGGAGAGAGGAGGAGAGGGGAGAGAGGAGGGTAGGGAGGAGGGAGGGGGAGGAGGGGGAGGAGGGAGGAGGAGGAGAGTGAGGAGGAGGGAGGAGGTGGAGGGAGGATGGGAGGGAGGGAGTGGAGGATGGGAGGAGGGAGGAGGGAGGAGGGAGGAGGGAGGAGGAGGGGGAGGGGAGGGAGGAGGAGAGGAGGGAGGAGGAGGAGGCGGGGGGAGGACGAGGAGGAGGAGGAGGAGGAGGAGGAGGAGAGGAGGAGGAGGAGGAGGAGCGGAAAGGAGGAGGAGGAGGAGGAGGAGGAGAGGAGGAGGAGGAGGAGGAGGAGGTGGAGGAGGAGGGAGGAGGAGGAGGGAGGAGGAGGAGGAGGGATGAGGAGGAGGAGGAGGAGGAGGAGGAGGGGGAGGGGGAGGGGGGAGGGGAGGGGAGGGGGAGGGGAGGGGGGGGGTGGGGGAGGGGGAGGGGGAGGGGGAGTGGAGGGAAGGGTGGAGGAGGAGGATGAGGAGGAGGAGGAGGAGGGAGGAGAGGAGGAGGAGGAGGAGGAGGAGGAGGAGGAGGTGGAGGAGGAGGAGGAGGGGAGGAGGAGGAGGAGGAGGAGGGGGAGGAGGAGGAGGAGGAGGAGCACGCGTCCTCACTACACGCTTTCCACTGCATGCCGAGGAAGAAGAGCACGACTCGCGGCGGCCCTGGGCCGAGCCCGCCTGGGCCGGTGGCGCTCCGGCCGCGTCGTCTTCCCGTGGCGAGGTGCTCGCGCCGGGTGTGTCCACCCGAGGCTCGGGCCGGGCGAAAGGGGGGGATTGGGAAAGGGGGGGGTACGAAATTGCTGCATGCAGCTGGTTTCGGCCCCACCGAGGGGCCCATCCTCGATACATAGCCGCCTCCGGCGCCGGGAGGCGCCGGGAAAATCAGCTACGTGAGCTGATTCTCAAACCCCCCCTTTGCTATCCCCCCCTTTCGCCCGACCCGAGAGGCGCCCGCGTCACCGCGGCCGGATGTCCCTCGCAGGGTCCTCGCCAGAGTGGGCCCCGGGAGAGGTCGCGGGGCCAAGCCGGCAGGGGTGCAGCAATGCTTTATTGGTGAATTGAATTGGTTTGAGGGTTTTCACAAACGGTCGCAGCCACGCAGAGGGCGTGCGTAGCGACGCCCCAAATGCTCGGTCTCCAGTACTTCTGAGTGGCGGCGCCCCCGCAGGCACGCAGAGGGCACGCGTGGCGACGGGGGCGTTGCCACAGAGCTTCTAAAGACCAAACATTTTGAAAACCAATTGACTACTAAAGTACACAGCCGTGAGAAAAGTTTCTTCGGTTTGCTATGATGAAGATCTCTCCCATCCCTCTCAAGATTCCTAAGGTGACATGGTGCTGGGTCATTCGGCGGAGTAGTGTCCGATCCCGGGGACGTGAATAACTCTGTTACCCCAAAACGGGATCGGAAACTACTCCGCGCCAAACCATATGAATTACCGAGCGGGATGCGATTGCGCGCGGAGTAGTTTTAGTAAAACTACTCCGAACTACTCCGCACGAGCGCGTCATTCCAAAAGGCAAATTGAAAGAAACTCTCGTGACGGCGATGTATTTGCAATGTCTTGCAACATCGAAGCAGGCTGTTTCGTTGTCTTTGGCCTCCCTGAGCCGTCTCCGGGCTCGGGAGCGTCGATGAACGATCAAGGACCAGTCAAAACATACAGTCATGACGCTGAAAGAAGCAACAGTTGGGGTTCAGAAGGGGCCCGATGCTCCTTAGGTTCCCCAGTGCTGTTCCTCTTGCACTCCTGGGGCACGGAGGCGCTAAGAGGGCCAAGAAGGGGCGTCGTTCCTTACTTAGCGTTCCTTCTTTCAGCAGCCCGACTGTACCTGGGAAGGGGAAGGGAGCTTCAGGGCCTGTTCAGTCAAGCAATCATACCAGGTGGCGTGTCTTGTCCGTTGCATTATGTCGGGCCGGGCCTGTCCCTCTACAGGGGGGATATTCAAAAACAGTCCCCAAAAAAAAGTCCGGGGACGATTGTTTGAGCATTTTTTTGATAAGTTTGGTGCACTTTTGGGGTATGTTTAATTTTTCGTCCAAAATCCCCCTGTAGGGGGACAGGCCCGACTTAACCCTTGCACCGGGGTTGCAAGGGCGCGCATGCGCGACGCAAGTCCCAGCAAACCCGGCCAGGGGCCCTCGAGCAGAAATGATTGCGGGAGGGCCTGGCGAGAGGCAACAACAGCAGCAAAGAGCGAGAGTCAGGAGGAACAAAAACCACTCAGACACAATTTGTCGTCGACTCCCTAAAAAATATGGGAAAATACGGTTGTGGGAAAATATGGTTGTGGTTATTTGTGTGTATTTATTTGTGTGTCCTAGGGCCCCTTCAGAGAGAGGAGCGAGAGGTTGCGGCAGGACTCTCACGGGTGCCTTCAAAGGCCTCCAGTGACACCCGCGCCTTCACCTCCGACTACTCTCCAGGCGCGCTTCAGCGCGTACCCGCCTCCGCGTCGACGGGCCGCGAGAGGGGCCACGAACACCCCCACCAGGCGCTTAGTGACACCAGTTGTCCATGCCTAGGGCCAAGTCGCAAATACAGCCAACACGTCCGCACACGGACCACGCCGGCTTCGAGTCAGGCCTGGAATTCCGCACGTCCCCTCTTGGGCTGCACCCAGGCGCAGCAGGGGCCCAAGAGAGGCTCCAGTCCTTACTTGAGGGACTTGGTATCGCTCGGACGTGTGCACTTTTTCTCGGCGGGGATTATTAAGGAGCATCCTGGATCATCCTGCGAAAAAAAACACGCACGAAGCCGAAAACAGCACAGGGGATGGACGTCCGAGCGACGGCCAGTATGCATCTCATGCACTTGGGGGGGAGGGGGTGCAGGGCAGGGCTGGGCCTGAACGCTGCTTTGGCGGAGCGAAGACGAAACGAGTGAGAACGGAAACGAAGCGAAAACGAAAACCACCGTGTGGGGAGAGCGAAACCGAAACGAAAACGAAACGAAAACGAGACGGAAACGAAAACCACCACGGAAACGAAAACGGAAAAACGAAAAGGAAAACGAAAACCACCGTGCAGGTTCAGCCCTGGTGTGTGGGGGGGAGCAGGAGCGGGCGCACGCCGGAGCCCAGGGGGTCCGAGGAGGAGGTCCCGCGGGCCCGGCGCGGCGGCGGGTCCCGCTTTTGCTCGTCGCCCCGCGTGTTGCAGCAGTCTTGGCCTCGCAGGGTGCCGGCGGGGCTCGGGGCAGAGAGCGTGTGCGCGCTGCTCGTCAGTATGAGGACCTCCTGGAGGCCTCGCGCGGCAACTCGAGGCCCAATTCGCACACGATGCACGTCGGGTTCGCGTCGGATCTGCGCAGGATCTGCGCATGGTTCACCGCGTGCTGTCTTTGTTGTTGTAGTTGCTGCTGGTGTTGTTGTTGTAAGTGGTGTTGGTGTTGTTGGTGTTGTTGGTGTTGGTGTTGGTGTTGTTGGTGTTGGTGTTGGTGTTGTTGGTGTTGTTGGTGTTGTGGTTGTTGTTGTTGGTGTTGCTGCTGGTGCTGATGTTGTTGTTGCTGTTGTTGTTGGTGTGATTGTTGGTGTGGTTGTTGTTGCAGTTTGTTGCCCCCCCGTCGTCGGCATCTTTCTGTCTCTCCTGTTACTTGTTGCCCAGCTGAGACGCGGCCAATCTTGGGAGGCCGTGCTGGAGTATTACGCCCAGGTGAAGGACCGCTGCATCGCGAAGCCTGAGAGCTACGAGGAGCGCAAGGCACGCCGCGAGGCCCGTATTTTCTTTCTGGCGTGGGGTGCAGCATTTCTTTCGGAGGCGACGACTTGCAAACTGGTAGTGGGTTTGCCATGCGGTGTGGCACCGAGTCGGCGTTTATATAGTGGCCTCCAGCCCTCCTCGCCGCCATGCCTGCCTGGGTGTTAAGGCCCCTCGGAAGTTTCTCAGGGGCCTCTTGGGGCCCTCCTGATGGCCACTTGGAGGCGTGATGGCGCTCTCGGGGGCCATCTTCGGGAGAGGGGAGCTTCCCTCTTGGGTCCCTCTGGGGGCTGCCTTGGGGGCCTCTTGGGCCATCTTGGGGCGATCGTCGGCGCCTTTTAGGTCGTCTTGGACGGACTTCGGGTCGAAACGGCGCATATGGGAAAGTCCGCATAAAATGTTAGCCAGCGTGGACCCCAAGCAGGGTAACCGAGTGCGGGCGATAATAATGTACCCCCCACTCCTTTAACCCCCTCTATGTTTATCAGCCCCGTTCAACGGGATTTGATTGTGGATAGGGGCGCGGAGGCCGAACCTGATAATCCACCAGGGAAGTTGCGAATCGAAGTTGCCTTCTCGTTCTCCTCCTCCCCCTCTTCCCCCCCAAGGGTCCGAACTTCTTTATCACAGGGTTGTTGTATCCCCCGCTGGGACCCACCATGGAAACCCCTACATGCGAGATTGACAACGATTAGACACAACCAGTTTTTACAAATAAAAAACCTGAGTTCCCGAATCCAAACATGTTTTGAAAATCGATCCTGGGGCCATCCTCTGCTCTCTTCCTTCTCCCACCCTTCTTGTTCCTCCCTTCCTGCTTGTACTCCTAACTACTGCTACTACGCCTGCTGGCAAGTTGTAGCCACGAGCATCGAGATCTCTCGAGTCAGTCTTGTGCCGAGCGCCCAGGATCACCATCATCATGATCATCGTCATCATCATCATCCATCATCAGCATCATCATCATAACTTCACCTTCCCCGGTTATTATTATCGCCCACACCGAGTTATTTATATCAAATGTGTGGTGCATGCAAATTTTGTGGTGCAATCTGTGTGGTGAAACATGTGTTGTGCAGTACAGGTTGTGCAAGCTACATGTATACACATACATACACACAGACAGACAGACAAGCATACGTGTGTACACATGTACATGTGCAGTTACCTATACGTGTACGTGCACGTACACATACATACATATACATATATATATGTATGTATATGTATATATATATATATATATATATATATATATATATATATGCGTATGTACGTTGTGCACCAGATGTGGTGGAATTTACGGTATGCAGTTTCCCTGGTGCTACACACGTTGTGTATTATTGCGAAGGCCTTACGGCCAGTGCCGCGGACCCTGAAGACGAAGCTGTCTGTGACGCCGTGGAGGCCGAAATGTCGTATATGCTAGAAATGTAAGTTCCCGATGGAAAAGTAATGAGTGTGGCCTCTTGGGCCCTTCTTGGGGGTGCTCTTGGAGGGGGCCTGGGACGTCTTGGAGGCTTCTTGGACGGTCTTGGGGCTATCTTAGGCGTCTTCGGCCGATCTTTGGGCGACTCGGGGCACTCTTGGGCCGTCTCGGGGGCCATCTTGGGCATTCGGACCTCATTTGGAGTGTTTTCGAGGTTTCGAGGCCGCCCGAGGAAAAACGAATCTGCCCCCCCACCCCCCCCCTCCACCCCCCCCGGGACCCCCCCACCCCCCCGGGAAGGGATCAAAGGGAAGGGGCTTCCCTTCGAATCGACAACGGCATGACGGCAGGAGGGTACGGCCCAAAAAGAAAAAAGGGGGAAGGAAGAAGGGGGGGCGGCGAGGAACGGACGAGGAAGCCCCTCGCACACGCCGACAGGGTCGGCGGATTTATGGTGCGATATATGTGGTGCCACCTGTGTTGTGCAAGATTTGTGGTAATATACGTGGGGCAATCTATGTGATGGAGTATACGTCTATGTTATGCAGTCTGCGCTGTACAATACATGTGGTGCGGTATACATTGCGCAATAGATGCGGTGCAATTGACTGTGGTTTCCTCGCGCGTGACCACCTCCCATACTCGCGCAATCATTGTCATCCCGCCCACCCACCCGCAAGTTGGTTTGCGAAACACATGTGGCGGCGATTGCGATGGCTCCTTGGCGCTGGCTGGTACGTCGCTGCGACCGCGCTAGCGTGCCCAGGCTCGCGCGCATAGCGGCCAGCTAGTCTGGCGCGACCGACGCGGCCGCGTTGGCGCTGACGCCGGGAACTTTCCAACGCGTTTCGCCGCCCGCGCTACGCGCGGAGCGAACCGGTGATTCGCGCAGGCGCGGTATCATGGCGACGCCGACAATGGCAGGCACGACGATGATAGTGGCAATGTTAGCGACGATGATGTCAATGACTGCGGCAAGGGCAATGACGGCGCCGATGTTGATCACGCCGATGTTGATGATGGTGTCCTGGGAGATCCAGGTTGTGGCCGGATTTTTCCATCCGCGCGGTCGGCGCGCGCGAGTGGCACGCATTGTACGATTTGATAGGGATCCCCCCGCCCTTTCAGCACTCGCGCACGGGAGTTCGAATGATTCGACATACACGCGCGAGAAGAATTTGTGGTGGCATTCGAAGAATAGGTTGAAAAACTCATGGTTGTCTTAAAAGTTCGCAACAGCGCGAGCGCAAGCTAATGTGTACCAAAACACTTACGTTGCGAAACCAGAGGTGCTTATATGTTTCCGAAACCCAAGGTTGTTGAAAGATGGCGCGCACTTCGTCCCGTTCGTTGCATTGGGATATTGCGACAGCACGCGCGCAAGGGCGTTCGAGATCCGACATGCGCACGCGAAGAACACGTTTGATCGCATTCGATGAACATGTTGAAAACCATATGGCTTTGCTTCAGAATTCGCAAGAGCGCGAGCGCAGGCTTGTTTGAAATTTCCGGTTGTGAAACCATTATCTCTTATTTGTTTCGGGACACTCGATTCCGAAATCTTTACAAACAACCCATGGTGTTTGAATGATTCCGAGATGCGCGCGCGACGACGCCCGCGCGCGTGCATTCTGTCATGTTGTTTTTTGTTTCGCAAGGGGATTTTGGAACATCTGTGAACGTGAAGACGAGCGCGAGCATGGGTTTTTCCCAGGGGACGAAGGTGGGGTCGGTGCCGGCCCGGCTGGGATGGTATGGATGGTGCGGCATCATATGTAGACGACACATCCCCATGGTGGTTAATATTTGGGGGATGGGTATATTGTAATTATCGTGCATCGTATGTGGTGCAATAGATGTGGTGGATTCTATGTGGTGCCATATGTGTCCTGCAACACATGGTACGGCGTAGCAACGCTAAGCAATACTCAATGCAAAGCAAAGCAATGCAACTTGCATGTAAATAATTCTACAATGCACAAAAAATGTCCAGACGACTGGTGGCGACGGAGCGGCGACGGCGGCAACATAGCCGCCAGAACGACACACGGGCCCAGACGACGGGCAGCGACGGGGTGGCGACGGCGGCTACATAGCTGCCTGACCGACACACCAGCCCAGTTCCTTAGAACAGAAGTAAGAACCCCTTAGTGCAAGCACTCTTGGGGAAAAAACGTGTTTGGGTATGTGAATTGCGCTTCTTGGACTAATCCCCAGTGCTTCCAAAATAGCAGAAAAGGACCACAAGGAGGTTTCAGGGCAGGCCATGAGACCTGGTCAAGCAACTTTGGGGTTCGGGTTACGAACGACGCTCCCGAGGCTTCTGGAAAGTTTGGAAAATGCAGAAAATTGAAAAACGCCCGAAGCACCTACGAGCGCCCGTGACTCGGGGTCTGGGCAATTTATTGAGAGGACTCACAATATTCAAATGACACGAACAGAATGCACCCACCATCTTTGGCACGGTGGTGGATCTGCCTCAAGATGTTGGTACAGGACGTCCGTTCCACATTGTTGGCTACGAGATCAAGTCAGAGATGATTGCGAGCAGGGTGCATCGGCCTACGCGGATATTGCACAGCCCCGCGGACCGAACCGGCGAAACACCGGCCAGGAGCCTGGATCCTCCTAAGCCCGACCCCTTCAGCAGACCCGCCAATCTGATCGAGCCTGAAGCCAGACCCCCTTCCTTTTCATCTTTCGGCCCCATGTCAAAAAAATACATTTACCAACGCGTACGTACGGACTTCACATTCGCGGGCACAGTTCGCAACGGTCAGTCAGTTGGATCTAGTTTAGAGAGCAGTGTGGGACAAGGGTTGCCCGTTTGGTTGCTTCCAGGGGTGAGCCATTGGGGGCCATTAGGGGTAGATGCGCGCTACCGTGCTCCATTTACATCGGCGCTTGGCTCATCGTCTAGCGCACTGGGCTGGACTGACCAACGCACCTGTGCTTGCGCACTCATCCACAACGCGGTAATATAGTCACCGTTGCGTCGTATATTGCGAGTGGTCGGGCATTTCTCGAACGTCATTCTTGTTGAGTCCAACTTGACTTGCCACCATGCCCCTTCGTCCCGATTCCTTTTGCGGACCTCCCCATGTTCGAGCCCGCTCCAGTTTCCTTGTAACCAGACTGTTTTCCAAATGAGCCAGTTCACGCGGTCGCGTGCAAGAGTATGACACAGAGTGCAGCGCCATTGCACGTACAGTCGGGGCGCTGGAGAAGGAACCCTTCTCGTTGGGGAGGGGCTCGGTGTTCCTTAATTGTTTCACAGCTTGCCCAAGGCCTTCCTCAAGTTTCCGATGGGAAATCGCAATTCAGCTTATGAAAGACAGGGGCCCCGTTCCTTGTTTGGGGTTCCTCAGGTCAACGCCCCGACTGTAGAACGGGCACGGCCACATTTGCTTTCGAGGTGGGGGCTGCTGGGTCGTGCCCTCCCTCGCTTTTTTTACACAGAGGAGTCCCGAGAAGAAAGGGGTCCTGATGTTAGGTGTTCCAACCTACTTGTGCCGCGATCACCAGAAAGAGTTTCGAGCACCAAGAAAGTACAGAACATTTAGGTTGTCACGTGTCGGGCCTTGGG